ATCTTCCCAGTCTGAAGGGGTAATAAAAAAAAAACCGTTTACAGACCCCCGAAACACCGGCTTTGTATGGATGGGAGGCTGGTTTGGTGAAAAATTTGTGCGTTTAGGCCAGGGTTTGACTTTGTGTGGACGGGGCCTAAGTCAAGAGCTGAACACAGAAAGAAAACAACTATAAATACAAAGCAACTAAAAATAAGCTCAAACAAAGGGCAGAATCCTGACAACATCAATTCATAAGTTAGAATAAAAAAAAATTTTAATCATGAATATGGGCCTTTATCATCTTGCCACTGGCAACCTGTCCAGGATGTACCCTTCCTCTCACCCATTGACAGCTGGAGATAGGCACCAGCACCCCTCGCGACCCCAATTGGGATTAAGCGTGTAAAGAAAATGGATGGATGGATCATCTTACCAAAATGAATTTTTAAATAGTAGAATTAGATTAGCTAAATGACAATGACACTTTTACTTTTACTGCCCTTTCCTAAAACAGACCTGCTTAACATTAGACTGAATCACAGAACAAACCCTCTATCCAAGCAAGAAACAAGAATTTCACGAGTCACCAGAACCTATCCAGTGCTTAAAAAATCTATGCTTATGATAATTGTTTTCTTTGAACAGGTTGTATGATTGCTTTGCTAATTTCATAAAATGTTGGTGTGAATGTTCTACAAAGAATTGTCTTTTCCTTTAGCTCCCTAGGTTGCTGAACCTGCCATAGATAGCCTTGAATAACATGACAATGACATACTCTTTCTGTGAGCAGGCAAGCACAGCCTGGGTGTGTGGAGGGAAATCTTATTAGTTTAATAATAATAATTACAATAATTTAACATTGTCATTATTTCTTTGTAGTCTTTGTTGTTCCATTTAGATTGTTAATGTTAATGTAATGTAAAAAATGTTATGGTTCAAAATGTTCACACCTTATCATTTTATTAAGAGTAGGTTCGATCAGTTTAACCAATTACAACGTACGCTTTAAGCGGAGCTTAATGTAAAGTGAGACAGTGTTGTGCCGTTCAGACAGAAGCAACTGGAAGTCAAGGCAAGATCCCGGCCAAAGAGAACACCAGAGCCGTGATAAGATGGCTGATCATGCCTTACTCTGGAATTAATACCACAGTGGGAGATTGGAAGAGGACAGCGGTAGATTGGTGAAGCCTTGCCAGGCAGAGACAGCGCCACAGTAGGAAGAGGCAGCAGCTGGCCGTGGCTAGCCCTGAGAGCTAAAAGCTGGAGATCTCAGGAGGAGGTCCATTGGGAAGAGGTCCACCAATGAGGAGAGGCGGTGCCGATGGCTGGCCAGTGTTTGCACTAGATCAACATTTTTAAGGCTAAATTAACATTATGTTCTCCGGCTTTCATTTTAATTAAAAAGTGCATTCAATCTAAACTTACCAGCTTCCATTCAAACTGGAAGACTTTAAGGAAATATTCCAACTGGTTAAAGAACAATGACTCCCAAGTTAAAAGCACACTGTGTAACTTTTGGCCTCTAGGGGCTCTAGACTTGTAACTGCCCGTATTTGCTGCTACTAAACAACTGTCACAGTCCCTTGTTTCCTGACCAATATGCAGAACACACTGAGGAGACAGGTAGAGTAGGTTTAAGATAGTCTAGAGAAAAAAAAAAAACAAGGACAAAATGCAGAGTTTCTTTAGGGCGAAGCATGAGGCACACTGCAGCAGCCCAAATGCTACAAAAAGATTTTCAGTTTGTAGGTCTGTCCGGCAAGGTTGTCCCTGCTCTCCATTTCTTTTTCTTATAGTTGTTGAATTACTCTCAATACAAGTTTGACAGAGCACTATTCTTAGAGGTTTAGAGATATTTCAGAGAGATCAGGATGACTCAACTGGCTTGGAAAATAAATTACAAATAGATACAGCACTTATGTTAATTGACACCTTTTCTGTTGCATCAGGTTTAAAACTTAATTTAACAAAATGTGAAATACTACGTCTCTATAACACAAATGAGATACATATATGTAAAATACATGTTAAAATTCATATCTCTAAAGAAATTTGTGACCAAAGATACAGAAAACTAAAAGCGTTTTCAATATGTGGCTTCAAAGAGTCCTGTCCCTGTTTGAAAGAGTTCTTCTGAGTAAAGCAGATGGTATCTCTAGATTTGTATATCATAAACTCTCTCTTTTTGTTCAACATTCCTTTTGTAAAGAAATAAACAACACCCTAATTAATTTTGTTTGGAAAAACAAAGGCCACTATTAAAAAAAAGACATCTTAACAGCCCCGAGAGGTAATGGTGGCATCAAATTGTTAGACTATATGGATATGAACCATACCTTTAAGATAAAATAAAAAAGAATGTTTGAAACAGCCAGAATATCTTTGGTACTTTATACCACAGAATATTTTTAGAAAAATCAGAGGCTTAACCTTTCTTCTAAATTGTGATTATGAGGTTTCAAAATCACCACTAAAAGTGTCTAAATTTCACTTACAAGCCTTATCAGCAGCAAAATTGTGCTTTGTCCATAATTTCTCACTGCAAAGAACTAGTATCTGGAACAACCAATTCATAACCAAGAAAAATAAATTTTTATTTCTGAAACAATGGATTGACAAAGGAATAATCTATCTAAGGGATTTACAAAATAACAAAGGTGACATTTTTAGTTATGAAGAATTTCCTAAATCCAAAATCTTTCCTATTACCTAT